ATAAACAAATCATAGGAGGCCAGGGAAAGCACAGAAATGGAGATCAACTTGCTGCACTTTGTCTTGTATCATCTAACGTAGTGCATACAAAAGCATCCCCCCAACCCTGCTATTTCTAGGAGGAAGCTTGAATAAGACTATTGATCCTTTTGTGTACCATATTAGCTACACACATCAAACTGATGCAAGGCCAGTAGATGTGGGAGTGTATTGAAAAAAATCCTCTTTTGCTTCTGGAGCCATGGATTTAAATAATCAATTTATCATAAAGGATGAGTTTTGTTGCCTCAAGCTAGTCTATAACAGTTTGAAATCTCTGCTAGAGGATGACACAGGACCAAGAGAAGAGGAGAGCTTCAAATCAAAATTGAGGTGCACTGATAAATGCACAGGAACATGTGCATAGAACTCCTCCATCATACCCTCTTATAGACAGCACATATTATTCATGAGCATCAAGTTTGCCATACAAAAAATGCCCCGCAAACTAACACAAGGTAGAATTCCAAGACAACCACCAGAGAATCAGTATATCACAGCATGAATTATAGAGGAGCAGTTGGGAAAAGGAAAGAGGCCAACTGAAGTTGCTCAGTTTAAGAGCTCTGCCACAAAAGTCAGTGTCTGGCCTTCTACAAAACCAACAGCACTGAGAACTGTGATTGCCATTGGGAGTGGTGGGGATTAAGCCCTTCAACGCCACAGGCACAGCAGCCAATACTTTCTGTAATCCTCAGGCTCTTTGTTCACAGCTATTGGCTATCTGTGTAGTTCAGCAAGAAGCCTGTTCCTAGTTTGTATTACATACTCTGCTCACCCCATTTATAGGGCCTACTGTAAGAAGAATGATCTGGCTAAGCGGAATCTGCTCTGAGAACTGATTTTTATCCTGCTTCTCAGCTATAACACAAAGATGATTTGGTTAATATGGACATAGAATCATGGGGATATCTGCTCTGCTATATTCCCTATGTACAGAAAGTAGTGCTGGTCCATGTAGTAATTTCTTGGGGAACAGATATTAATCATCAGCCATTGGATGGATCTTACTGATGTAAAAAAAGCTTGCCATCTCCTCACCTTCCAATTGCATGGATGGATTTTCACTAGCACTTAACATTGAAGCATCATCACATATGATCACTGAAGTAGATCCCTCTTTGGATTCACACCAATGTAACTCGGAGCAGATATTGGTGCTATATCTTCTTTCTTGACATATTTATCAGTGTTGTGAAACTCTAATGAAGCCTCTAGTCGTGTATGTGTGGATACAGGTGTGTATATCTGGACCTCTTCCCAAGTGGCACTGCCTGGAGGTACACCTTTGAGAGACATACTATCCTCTAGAAGTTTGTCGGGAGCAACTCTTGTTGTGCCACAGGATTAATCACCACCTTTCCTGGCATACCTGTTGCAGTCTGCACGATGGGCACTTCCATTGCATTGTTCTCACTGTGCCCCGTAATAAACCCTCCTGGGGTTGCTGGCATTGCCAGCAGTGTCATCTACCTCTCCCCTTGCATGTTCCTGGGCAGTTAGTCAGGTTATGCCTGGTCCTCCCCAAGGGTTCCAGTGTGTCATTTGTGGTGCAGCCATGCAGGCAAACGTTAACTCTACATGTGTTTTCCTCATTAATCTTGCAAAGCTACTGCTCACGTTGACTTACCGGGGTAGCTTGTCCATATTCTGTTATTCGGAGGTGGAATTACAAAGCTTTTTAAAACAAACTCTTTAAAATCCCCAAGCCCTGACCATCCGCATGCGTAGATTTAAAACTTGCAAGCCCATCTGCTATTCAAAATGAACAACAAGAATATCCACAGTTATAATAGCTCACATGTCTGTACGTCTCCTACAGCTGTGGGCTCTCAATTCTGATGAGCACTACTGCTCTATAAATGTGCAAGAATAATAATTCTGAGGTTTGTTACCGATATAGTGGAGGGTCTTCAGCAGAAAGCAGCCTCCACGCTTGTTCACCCATTGATGTTTCATAGATGAGTAAGTATTTTTCTTTCATTTTAAAGATGGGGAAATCAAGGCACATAGGCCTTTGTCTAGACAGGATTTAAAACCCCTCTGAATGCTCATTAAGATGCAAGCTAACGTCTGGACCGCAGAGAGGCTTTTGGGGGCCCAGGGCAAAATCTGAACGTGAGCCCCCCTCTCCAACTTCCAAAAAATGGTCACTGAGGGGTGGCGGATGGAAACGGGAGGGGAGTTGGAGGGTGAGCCCACACTGGACTCCTGTCCTGTGATGCTGGGCATGGTGACATGACACGCAGGGTCACAACCCCACTCAGATTTGGCTCAGCCACCCTTCTCTCAGGACAGAGGGGCTGCCGGGCCAAATTTACCGAGTGGTGCTGTGATCCCAGGTGCCAGGTCGCACCGCCAGTCAGTTTGGGGGCCTTTTTGAAGGAGGGGGCACCTGGGGTAAAAACTGCCCCATTTGCCACCCCACCCCCCTCGGGTGACCCTGGTTAACATGTTTGAAGCCACGTTAGATGGAGATGTTGTCGCCTGGAGGGGGAGAACGAGCTTTTCAACTGTGATACGCTAACTTGATTGAGTTAACATTATTGAAAAACACACCTGTTTTGCCTATCAAGACATACCCACAGGGATTAAGTGATTTCCTCAAAGTCAGACAGCGAGTCAGTAGCAGATCTAGGAATAATACCCAAGGCTCCTCAGTCTTTGCCCTATATACAGCTCCACACTGACATTACTAAATAGCTCAGATCCGTTGTGCAGCCAGCACCCACAGAAGTCCATTGCTGTATAGATCCCTAAATCTTTGTGATCTCAAGAGAGGACCATTGTTTTATCGTGCTCAACAAGGCCCGTGTTTGAGGTAGGCATTAAATGGATGTAGACCTTGATTTCTGTAACACCATAGTTGTGTTTACCTAAAACAGTTTTATATTCACAGTTATAGGTACCCAAGTGCCAGAAAAAGTTGCGCTGACTCAGTCATTTAGCATACTTCTGTGCAGCTTCAGGGTAGAACTATATTCCATGGAAAAACTTGCAAACAAAAATATATTTGTAGTTCAGAGTAAAACTACTGGAACAGACTTTACTTTGGTTCTTGCACTGATCTACTGTTGCTTCATAGTGTCCTTCACTTAATGACGAAAGATCCAGTAGAGTTTGACTTCCTCTGTCGAAACATAACGGCTGTGTTATTCTTGCGCCTTCTGAATAATCATTTCAATATTTATACTGGAGACACTGCAAAATCCAGCTTTGCATAAAGGAGGCTGTACCTGAATGTCTCCAATGTATAAAATAACTTGGGTAACAGCTTCACGGTGTGGTTACAAGGATGGATTTTGAGCTCCGTTATGCTAGTAGAAATCCGGAATAATTCCACTGAGGCCAGTAGAATATAAAACAGGCATGAGGGAAGAATTGGACCCTTTAGCCTTTATTCATTGAGCTGTGGTTAAGGAAGGATTTTCCTTATGGTTCAGAACCCTTGATAGTTGTATGCTGAAGTTGATAATGCCCAAGCCTAAATGGAATTTTTGATCATACTCTCTTCAAGATATAGGGCTGGGTACTCTGTGGGTGTCCACTGGCGTAGCTCCACTAAAGTCAATGGGACCTCTGCCACGTATGCCTGCTGAGGAGAATGTGGCTCATGATGTCAGGGGCCTAGCATTCAGAAAGAAAAGTCTTCTACGTGCGTTTAGCAAACTTTGTGGCTTTTAAGCAATAGCGGAGCGTGAGCAAGAAGCAGATTTCAGGCCAGCTGTTCAGATGAGTTTTAAAATAGTGTTTGCAAAACCAAAGTCCTGAAGTGGACACCTAATTAAGGAATTTGCTCATGCACAGCCTTCTACTCATCCCCAATTTTCAGATGAAGTCTTCGGGGCCCTATCAGAAGAGCTAAAGGTGATCTCTGCTCCATCCAGTAGAGAGCGGTCTGAATAAAAGCGCTGAGCCTTTGTTGGGTACAGTATATCTCAATAACAGGGTGCTTTCTCTGTATATGTATTAGCAGGGAAAGGTGCAATCATTTGTTCTAACCTAATCAGCTAGATGTTGCATACATTTGAGATGAGCAGTTGCCAGGAGAATGCTGAGAAACCTTTGGATTCTTGAATCAGAATTTGTCCGTAGAAGAATGTAGCAACGTAAACTATTACAAATAAATAAAATGAAAAGCCAATTTTGATCTCCATAGAGGCCCTGGGAACTCGACTTTGAAACGTTCAGTTCCGGACATACATTTTACATACATTTGCTAAGCTGTAAATGCTTCTCTGTTGTGAAGCTGCGATTGCTCTAGACTGAAGTACTCTGGTAATATGACTTTTCGTTTTCAGCAGTCAGTTGCTACAATAACCTCAACATGCTGTTTACCCTCTTGTGTTTTTCCTCCCCTTCAAAATTAGAGACTACAGCATTTTGCTGTGAATTAATATTTTAAAGGGACAAAGCCAATTTGAAATCGAAAGATAAGTTTTGGCCGGGATTACTGCTGTTCTTAGGTTTTACTGCCAGTTCCTATGGTTTTGTAATCATATTTTCCTACGTTTTTTTTAAATATTTCTCTCTTACTTGTGAAAACCCACATAAAAGGTGAAATTTCACAGACTTAGCGACAGAAGGAAAACAGCAAAGCTAAATACCCACAGAATGTGCATGGGGCTGTAATAGGAACAAACAAAAATCTCCATTCTCTAGTTTTTTTCTCTCTAATCCCTTTCAGTTACAGTCGTAGATGGCATACACAATGTTAGTTGGTACCACTTTCACTTGAAAGTGTGATTTGATTGTTTTTAAGGTCGCGCTGCCCCTTTAACCGTTTTAATTGTATGTAACCTCAATTCCATCTATATGTGAAGTGTGGTCAGAGACAATTGAGTAACTAAGGATCAAGTTAAATCAGTAATTTCATAGGATTTTTATATTCTGCTTCTCATATGCTTAAAATTCCTTGATGGGTAATTAACAGCAAACCATTTCTCTTATTTCCACTTTAGGATGGGAATCTCAGCTTCTGGAAACGGGGGTTTTAGGAATATTCCTGTGCCCGCTCTGGACTCTCTCCCGGTTACCTAACTACACTCCGCCTTCCCAAATTGTCATCTGGGGATTTCGATGGCTCATTTTCAGAATCATGCTTGGAGCGGTAAGTGGAACTATAAGCACTTATGCTTCTGCAGACGTCTGAGATCATATTAGCAAAAGAAGACGATCTCTTTACCTTTTACTAGAGCAGCTAATTCTAAATGTTTAATCCTGGCAGAAAACCCACTTGCTTCCTATAACCGGTATAATATTTTTTTATGTTCTGTCGTTTAGGATGGTCTCTGGTTATAAACAAGGAGAATGCAGGAGGAAATATTTGGTGTTCTGTTTCATTGAATCTTTCAGATTGTTATTGGTGGCTGCCTTTAACGAGATCAACAGATATAGGACTAGGAATGTATATTAACATTTTAGCACTGCTATTACAATTTTAATGGGGCGGGGGGGAAGGAGGTAAATCGTTAGCTTTGAAAGCTTGTCCCTTAAAAATATTTTGTAAAGTGATTTTGAAGGTTCTGAAACATGATTTTCAGCACGTTGGGTGAGAACCCCAGTGTGAAATCCCCAAGCAGGAGCTGTACCGGGTTCTTTGCATACCTTATTGAACTATCGCTCTCGAGGCCTTACGCTGTCAAATGTAGCAATTGCTGCACCGCTGTCAGCTGCGAATGGAGATGGCCAAGAGTCTTGAAAGCAAAAGAACCCATCAGCAACGGATGTTTCTTTTATTAAAATTAAAGATGGGGCCTGGGGACAACATTTGGAGCCAAAACAGAATTTTGGACACCCCCCGGTTCTTGGATCTTGGGAAATACACACGGTATGTTTGTTGCGTCTAAATGAGACTTTCCAGCTCAAAGCAAGTCAGCCTGATTCTGGGAACCCTTATTCACATGAGATGCCTTTACTCATGCAAGTAATCCTATTGACTTTAATGCAACTGCATATTGAGAATGGACTGCTCAACTGAGGAAGGGTTTGTAGGATTGAGTCATTGTTGTAATGCCTCTCGAGGGCCTTGAGAACCTTCTGGCTGAAATATGCTATACAAACCATGCCATTATTCATTATTAGGCTTGGAGCATACAAGATAATCTCCATTTTGAGAAATCAATCTCTCTTTATATATAGTAATGTATAAATAAATTAAAAGAGGGATAAGCATAGACATTGGCACCAAGAACAACCTCAACACGGCTTTAAAGACCACCTTATCTCAAAGTTAAGGCTGTTTGATGCATGTGTGTAATCTCAACTATACTTTAAAGAATGGAAATTTGGGCTCTTAAGAAAGCTGGCTTTTGTAGACTGAAAAGCTTTGAAGTCTTATTTGGCAGTGCCCGAGATCAGATGGGAAAGACAAAGCGAATGTAAAGATCTCTGTGCTGGGCTGAACAAAGATTCAGTACATTCCTGACAAAGAAGATATTCTGGTTTGGGCGTACCTAGGCAGATAAATGAAAACATGATGGCAGTCTTGCAGTCTGTTCCATGGAGTCTTCCTGCTAGTGACGGATGGGAGAAACGCTATGAGAAAAATGACTGGAACGACTATCAGCAAGATCGCGGATACGTAAGGGAGAGGATGGGAAGTAACTGAAACGGGAGGTCCCTGGTGGTTTTCCTACTGACTGTGGAAAAGTGGCATTAACAGTGAAGTCTGAAATCCAAGCGGAAGCTAGTGCGCTGGCTCCCAGATTGTGGAAGGGAAAAGGGGGAAGTAGCATCTGTAAAATACCTACTGTAAACTAGCAATGAATTTGTAACTAATTGTGCATAAGCTCTGCTGGAATGTCAGCATCCTGGAGCTAAGTACTCCAGAGCTGCTGAAGGGTCACTGCAGCAGCCCCCGCAGGGCATAGGGGCCCCATCCGGTCAGGTCCAGGCTGAAATGCTGTTCTCCTGTTTACGATCCAGCTTTTGTGCTGTGTAGTGTGACGTATGAGCTACCTTATGCTGTACTCAGAGCTCTGTGGCGGCAATAACTTAAACCTCCTGGGGGCTCATGAAATCTCCCCCCCTTTACTGTGGCTCATCTGTGTAGCATCACAGATTACCCTCCCCTACTTTCTGTTTGAGAGACCTGCTCCGTCGTCCTCCAGGAAACTCACCCTTCTGCTCTCCTCCTCCAAGCTCCCATAGCATACGAAAGTGGGGCAGGTTGTGGGAAAGGTGGCAGTTGGACACTGATTCATAACCCTTGGAACTAAGGGACCCAGTCACACGGCTCTGCATGGGGGCCTCAGATTTGCTTGAACTGACCCTGATGACTCTTGACTGTCAGAGGTGGTGACCTTTGTTGCAAATATTAGTGATTTGCGCACTAGAGCTTTCCCTCATCGCCTTGTGATTTAGGAACTCGTAACAAGATGCAAAAATGAAACGGGAGTGTAACTATTTACATTTGTTTCACTCCAAAACCTAGTCCAGTTCTGACCTGTACAAATCATGATTTTTTTTTCCAAGTTGGGGAGGGAAGGCCATAGCAAAATGGGACATGGGTTGGAAGTTTCTTAAGTGGATGGTATTTTTGTTTTAATCAGGTTTAATAGCAGACTGCCTGGTTTTTTTGCGTTCTCGCCTCTCTTTTCAAAAGCTTGTAACAAAACTTCTCTCTGCTCGAAGTGTGTTCTGTGACTTCCTGCTGAGAAAATTCCTGTGTAAAGAAACCTTTGAAATGAATCAAGAGGGAGGTGGTTCACAGGTCAGTCAGTTGGTGCAAATAGATTTGAATTTGGGAGCAGAGACCGAAGTTATTTGTTAAATTTCCATCAACCCATACATGGACCTTGAGAAATTTCTTTTTCTCATAAAACTAAAGTGATCCAGAGTGGTTACTTTCTGTCGCCAGCATCCACGACTGCCAGGAACACACGAATGGCTGTCAAATCAGTTAAAGATGTGAAGTAAACTTGGAATCATTTGTCTGTATAATGAGACGCTAGACATTTGAGAGAGTGGGGGTAACCAGAGAGCAAACCAAAGAAGCACACACATGTATACATGTGCTTGCCAATTGGGAATTTTGAATCAAGTTTGGTGTTTTCTTTCCAAGATCTGGACATGAATTTTTTTTATTTTTTTTGCTGGTCCTGGCATTCACTAGCCAACCCCATATAGGAAGCAAGTGTAAAAACAATTACCGCCCTTTAAATTCTGCAATATGCAACAGTTTTCCTGTGCCAGGTTAGACTGGGCAAACCTGTTCAGATAAAACAGTAGCCATGTAGTATCTTTACCCGCTGCTCAAACCAAACTCAAAAGGAGCCTGTTTGGAATTTTAAAAAGAAATCCATTAACTATTCTGTCCCTGACTATTTCCCCTCTAACTTGCATGTACTCACTGCACGTTATTGTGCTAGCAGAGTATGAAGAACAGTAAATTACTGCATGCAAGTTTTGTTCAGGTCAGAGTCAATTGAGAGAGAGATCATTGAGAGCTTGTTCTCACAAGATTTCTAGCCACCCAAACCCCTCACTCTTTTGCAGTTCTGCCATCATTTATTTAACTGCAACCTTGCCTTTCCCCCAGTTATCTTTTCCTTTTGTATCACTGGTTTTGTTTGAAGGGACAGTGTGGTAAAGGCAGCTAGCACCCTCCACAGTCTTCCATTTAGCACCCTTCCCCTTGAAAAATCTTGCATCTTGATAGCCTTTCTTTTGGCCAACGAGGAAATTGGGGCCCATCGAAAGAAAAATCTGAACACCTTTTAATTTCCAGTTAAAATGATTATTTAAAAAAAACCTGTTTAAAATGGTAGCTTAGAATACGGATACGGGGACCAGTCTTGCGTGCTCCTCCTAGCCAAAGCTGCGCAGTCACTGGGAATTTAGCCAGAGGAAGGGCTGTAGAACCAAGACCCGGGCTGGACAAATGCTATCCACAATTAATAAAGCTCAGTTTGGAAAAAAAAGTGAGTTTGAAACCCTCTGCTGTTAAAAATAGCTGTGGATATAGAAAATACCAGGCTGTTCATTGCATTGCGTTAGCACTATTTTATTGGAAGTTGGCTGAGGGGAAGTTTTTCAAAAACCGACTAGAGCAAGAGTGGCCAAACCACGGCTCACTTTACAGTTAAAGTGCTTCTGCCCTGCAGCGGGGTGGTGGGACTAGTGGCTTCTTCCCAGCAGGGTGGGGGGGTCCCATGGGGGGCACCTGCAGGAACTCCGGGCTTCAGCAGGAGCAGGGCTGGAGCCCCGAGGCCCAACGGGGGCCTCCCGCGGGGCAGAAGCCCCGTGCCCCGACAGATGTGCCCGGGCTCTTGAACTTCTGAAGTCTGTCGTATGCAGCTCGGAGGGTCAGTAATTTTGGCCACGCCTGGACTAGAGCGTCTCATGAGGCACATAGTCCGTCCCCGCTCCACAAAGGAGCCAAAGGGAGAGCCCGACCCCCATTTATTTTGAAAGTCTCTGCTGCCACTCTCCATTAATTTGACTGGGAGTTCTCTCGGAATCTCTTAGATGGCTTTGAGAAGATAAGACTCTCAGGCGTAGCAGGTATCCTGGGGACGGGGGCTTTGAACAGGTTCAATGATGAAATACAGTCTCCAGCACTGGAGTGTGATTTTTTTAGAATAAATTCCCAAATGCTTGCTATGGGTAGCAAGCATTTGGGAAATAGGGATGAAGGCTCCCAACCGGCTATAAATATCCATCCAAGTTTTATTACAAATTAAATTTCCTGTACTGACCTTTATAAACATAGAATGATAACTTCTTTAGTAGCTAACCAGCATGGTTTACCCATTAGTCTGGTGCAGGCAGCCACGGTCTAAGTTATTAAAATTTAGTAAGTGCAATAACATGGTGCTGATTGACCTTTAATGAAATTCTTTGGCGCGGCATAACTGTCCCATGACATCAAAGGTTCCAGTCTCTTGAGGCGCTGAGTGTCTCCTGCAAGGTGAGTTGATGGGAGCTGAGAGCATTTAGCATCTAGCAGGATTGGGCGTTGTCGCCTAATCTGCTAGTCCTTTAACTGGTCAAATGCAGTCTGCATGTTTCATGACTCTGTGGCTGCGTGGTGAGAGTTTTCTTGCTGCAGAGAACTTCAGTGTGACTAGTATGTTATGTAGGCCCCTCCAGCCATTACTCTGTAGC